TTGTTCTGTGCTCAATGTTTCCTTCAAGACGGAAAAACTCGACGCCGTCAGCAGGAACGAGCTTCCTCCATCTCTATTAAATGTTTCCTTTCTTCCATCTCAAGGAAAACAAGAAGTGGAAGAAGCTGAAAGAGAAACTGGAGAGAATCCACACGTCGAACACACGACAGACACAACAGGTTTGTGCAGAGAAAGCACCGTCACGCAAGAAAAGTATAGAAGTGTGAAGACTACGATCCATGATGGCAACAAGCCCTGCAGGGCCAGTGTGACCCGACGCGCTCAGCGATCTGTCACTCGACAGCGCCGATCCATCGCAGCAAACATCAAAGTTATTCTAGTCAGAAGTTGCAACATCCATCACTGACGTTTGCTTCCTGCGCCTGCTGCAGCGCTCGAGGCTCCTCAAGCAGCACCACTCATTCACACCAGCGCTTCCTATCCAACGCTCGCCGTCCAATCGACACATCGGAGCGCAACCGGGGCGTCAAGCAACCGCCAACCTTCCAACTAGTGGATGACGTGCTCCGCCTCCCGGGTACGGCCACCCCGAGCAAAACAAAAGCAACGATGTGTCGTGAGCATCATCCAGCCTTTGCCACCAGAGCTGCAGTCACATCTGCTCCAAGTTTAAAACATCACATCTGAGCGCCGAGCCAGGAAACATCAGCGAGTGATTGATGATGACCAGAAATCATTACCAAACGTAAAACCAGCAGCTGGAGGGAGCACGCAGACCTGCAGCAGGACAAACCGTGGAAGTGAAGAAAGACTTGTTCTTATGTTATTACTGTGATTTACCTTCAGTCACAGCGGTGTGAGGAAGTGACGGACCAATCCTAATCACTATTTGGGCCACCGGTGTTGGCAGCGAGTCTTTTACAGCTGTGCAGGAATCTGTCCCACTCATCTTTGCAGATTTGTTCTAATTCAGCCACTTTGGAGGGTTTTTGAGCACAAACTGCTCTTTAAGGTCGCGCCACAGCATCTCAGTCGGCTTCAGGTCAGGACCGGCCTCTCCAAACGTCATTCTGTTTTCCTTCAGCCGCTCACACGTGGACCCGCTGGTCTGTGTGGGATCATTAACTCGCTGCAGCACAAATACAGACCACAGCCTGAGACGAGCGGATATCTGTTTTTTAAAAAGAACGAAATACTCACAATAACGAGTAAACATGAACCTTTGTCAGCCTGTGGAGTCTGCCCGGGAGCTCAGTCTGACTGATCTGCTCTACAGGCATCCAGATATGATATTAGCAAACGTCTTATCAAATTATTAGACCACAGATATTTTAGAAAGCATCAAAAACCTGTTTTAAACTAAAATATTGTTTTTTTTTAATCCAGGAAATAAACTGAGCCGACATCTCTGAGACGTCTGAAATTATTCCAGCAGAACATTCAACCAATCTGCTGTCACAGCAACAACAAACATCTGTCAGTCCAACTCAGGTTTAACTAATCCAGGTTTAACTAATCCAGGTTTAACTAATCCAGGTTTAACTAATCCAGATCAGAGTCCCGGATCATTACGGCCCATCTGTGAGACGTCAAAGCTGCGTAAGGAGACGAGCTGCGAGGTCCATTAAAGGGCAGATGGGCTTATTGATAACTTCCTTCGCTGATGCCA